ACATCCAGAAGGGACACTTTAAATCTTACTCCTTCGTAGGTACATCACAGTTATGAAAGGATTGAACTACTTCTGTCCCCTCTCAATCTAGTGATCCAAAATGTAAAAGGGACTCTGGAGAAAGAGGAATGGGAAGGCTTTGCATGTATAGTCAGTGCATTTGGAAGAACAGTTTCTTTATATGCACATTCACTATGTGGGTGGATTTCAGCAGCACCCTGCTGATGCTAAGTCAGAAGATGTAGTCCCACAGTCTCCATCTAATTAAAATATTCCTCTTTCAAAAGTGGCATTATTTCCTCAACTTCAGTGACAACGTTTAGCACTCAAAGTGTGAATGGAGATCCACTGGCAGCCTCAGAAATGTTATGTACTGCTATAGCTACAAATGCTGCTGCTATAGCTGACTGCTGGCTTAATGAACTCTAATCAAAGCAAATACTGCCGTTTTAACTACCTTACAGCACATTAATATACAGTTATCCATTGGGAAACTATCTGTGTGAAATACAACCCGTTGAACGACTGTGCAATAGATGTAAACAAATCCTCATATAGGATCCTTCCTTGACATCAAAAGTAAGGCAAATAATTCTAAACTTTTACTTTTGGGGAAAAACAAACAAATAAACCACACTCCAGTAAAACCTTAGGTTACAATTTGCAACAAGTTCTAAGAATTGCTTCATCTATAAACAGTGCCCTTATATTAGAAATTAGATATTTTATTGATAATGGAGGATGGAACAGATTAAGAAAAGACTCAAAGGGTTTTCTGGTAAGAGTTCAAATTGAGGAACTTCCTCATGAAGTTCCTTCATGAAAGGGGAAAATCACTAAATTAGATGCTTCAGAAATAATTTAGTAATTGAATGGAAGAAATGGAAAATACTGGAAAGAAGAAAGTAAAGCTGAAGCAGTTGATAATGGAACTTCAGTTGAGCTAACAGAGAAAAAAAATATTCAACACAGACTAGTAGTCTAAAATTTCTCATATGAAAGTAAGGAAAGGAAACTGAGGCAGACAGAGTATCAAATCACAAATATTGACTACTTACTCCTCCTCTAGACTGTTCCCTGCTATGAAGCACCCTAGTCAGGAACGAAATTCAATTATATCTTCAAAACCCATCCAAAGTATCTTAAATACAGATGCTGAATTTGGATGTCAGTGCATTCAAATAAAATCTGGAAATAGATAGAATTGTGGGCCTGCTAAATCAAGGAGGCTGATCAAAATAGTCTGATACCAAACCACCTGGACTATTCCTGGAAAGAAAGAGTCTCTCACTCTCTTTCATGTTGTGTAAGGAAACAGTTTTTATCAACTTTCTCTGTCACAGGTTCAGAAAACCAACTGGCAGCACTCTTCAAAAAGGAATGTTTCTGGACTGGAAGAACTAATCTGTGGAGTAAAAGGACTATTCAGAGCATCTCTAGTCCCAAAACATAGGGAGACAATGTTATTAAGTATCTCTCAATTGCAAACTAGCAACTGACAGCAACAGAGATGGTCAGCCAAAGAATCTAAAGCTTCCCAAAGACAAACATGGAAAGAAAAAAATATTTCTTTCTGTACAATCCAAAGACTCACAATCCATCTGCGTGTTTGATGAGATGCTACTTTTACATGAGAAACTGTTTGGTTAATACTGTGCTAGTCTGCTTACAGGTGAGAAACTTAACGGGAGACAACTGGTACTGGTAAAGATGCCAAGTGATCAAAACTGTCCTCCTGTAGCTTCCATCATTCCTCAAGTCAATAACAAAATAGGGTTTGACAACAGAATTAGGGACAGTGTATGAGTCACACTGCAAATGATTACATATCTAAACTGCATATAATTTCTTCATAGTTTTTCTGACAGGACTATTTTTAAACTACTATAACAACTGCCTTCTGAGTAACAATGCACTAAAAAAAAGTTTGTACATTTAACAAAACAGAAAGAAAAGGGACTACTACTCTTCCTTACTTTAACACATCTGAAAGAGTTACATGAATCAGAAAACACTACCGATGTTCAGATAAATTTTGAAAACCAAAATGTTCTAACACTCTTAATGTAGCAAAGGGGAGTTCCAGATATAACACCAGAAAGATAATATTTCCTTAAAACATTTTGCTTGGCTCCTGTGGGTTGTGCATACTGCATCAATCAGGCCAACAGCACTTCTTTGACTGTGCCCTCTCCCCCATAGCTTTGATCCCCCTTCTTTTCAAGTTCCTACAAGAGTGTGTAAGAACCAACTGCCCTTAAAGGCTTATTCTGAAGCTATTTAAAACCACTATAAGCTCAGCAGTAAGGGTCAGGGAGAAGGAAGGCAGATGCTGGAACACAGGTACTCAAAACACCTCAAAGACTTTCAGTTGTAGCAGGTAACTGTTCCTTCTCCTTTGAAAGATTCTCAGCAGCTGGCACAGACAGAATCTTTCAAAAATGGAGGAAAGAAAGAGGATTTAAATAAGAAAAGGGAAATACATTGTTATTCTACTGAGCTGATGAGCTGATGTCTGACCTGACCTGACCTGACCTGAGCTGATGTCTGAGCTGATCTACTGAGCTGATGTCTGACCGGTATCCCAAACAAACTGGTAAATGTATGCAAAGACACATGTAAATGTTTCACTAACCAGATAATCCCAGAGTTGTTAGGCTGCCTTTGTTCTAACTGAGGTAATCTCAAACTGTTTTCCAAAGGAGTGTTTTCCTTTGAAGAAGCAGTGCCATTCTAAAATTAAACTTATGGCTAACCCCATATTATCAGGCACTGTGGTAGTTTGCAGAGAAGTCTCGGTGTGCATGGACTAGTTTTCCTTCAGAAAGAAGTAACCAAGAAGCTCCCCTGGAGGTATGCACCATATGTGCCCTAACCCTTCACATCTCCATTACAGTCTGAATAGATGACTAATCCTTTGGACAGTTTTTTAAGTCTGTTTTCTGACACACAAATAGACCTCCTTTGAGCAAGGCCTGGATTAGAAGATTTACAGAGGTACCTTTTAGTGAGCTGGTTTATGGTTCTATAGAAAATACCAAAACTTAACCATGGCACTAACTGATTTGATCTGCTCCTGTTATTTCAAATTATTTGCTAATGTAAACATAGATTTCCATGGCTGATAATTCTTACTTATTAGCCTTGCATTCTAATTTAATACAACACAATTTCCCAGGTAATAAAGAAGTTTTCCGTGGCAGTATAGATCTTTCTGCAGGTTTCTTCTTGTGAAGGGAGATTAACCTGTGCAATGCTCACTGTTGTCAAAGCTAGACTGCTGCAGAACTCATGTTAGCTCAGATATCTGCACACCACACTGGTAAAAGCAGTTAATATGCTGCCTGTGGTATACAGGATAAGGAACAAGAAAATCATAATGACATGTACAGCCTGAAAAAAACACTGTCAGTCATTAAGTGGTGGAAATTATCTTTAAGCCTGATATTATCATTCTCTCATAGTGGTTAATGATATCCATTAAAAAACAGAATTAATTCCAATTTGTCTGCATATTCATTAGTAGCTCAATATACAACCTCTCATATTTAGCTATGGGATGATTTTAAAATACACTCAGTCCTGTCATCATGATTCTACTCCCTCAGTATGAAGACGTACTTCTTATTTTGTCCTTCACAAAAATCATAGGAAAAAAAGCAAAGAGAGAAAATGCAAACAACTGAAAGAAAACTGAAGAGTTACTCAAAAGACTAACACAGAAAAAGGCAAAACGAGATTATCTGTGCAAGCAAAAACACCGCATGCAACAAAATGGCCTCAACTTTCCCAGGATCATAATGAAGTGAGAAGGTTTATATGTCTGGCATATAATTATTTCTACTTAAATGTATTTCTTAAGAAAATTAAATTTATAAGATGTTTCCACTTTCTACTTGTTACTGATTTGCCATTTTATTATTAATAAGAAGTAGTTGTGTTTGATTTTAATATAAATACATAGAGTTAGGAGATATATTAGTAGGAATTATATATTTATATCTATTGCACATTTTACCAGTAATGGACTGCTGCTATGAAATCTTCTGTACAGGCTGTACCAAGGCCGAAGGGATTGGTCAAAATCATCTAGAACTTAGGTGACTTAGGTAACGAACACCAACAGGCACCAGTTGATTGACAAACTGATTTATAGTATTAGAAGAATGCATGTAGCTGTCAGGGTCTGGAATTAATGAAACTAGGGGAAGCCAACCGTAATAGCTGGCAAGTACCTGCCAGGGAACCGCGTCCTTAAGCAAAAGGTAATTCCTGCAGGGGGAGATCGCGACCCCCCACTCTTGGACCACCTACTCCTATTGCACCCCAGACCCATTTCCAGACATTTCTAGCTTTTATTGCGCATAATCGGAACTAGGAGGAGAGTATGTAAATGATTTCTGGGAAACGATATGTTTATGTATGAGTACTTAATGGATATGCATGAATAAGTTCTATATAAGATGTATGTTTTTGGGGCTTGGTGTGCATTGTTGGTGAGAGCATTCCCCTGCGCACCCGGCCATCAATAAAGAAGTGTCTGCTTATCTACATCACATTGGTGTCGATAAGTTCTTTACTCCGAGTTTTCGGTAACATACTCAATCATCTGAAATAATTTGTCAACCTCCGTCCAGATTCAGTTAACTTTGTTAAGAAGCAGAAGTCTCACTAATTAGCAATTTTTTAAAAGCTTCCTCAACAAAAAAATAAAAAAAAGAAAGAAAAAAGAAGAGACTTTCACAACAGTCAGTACCCTAGTAATGTGTTGAAGTGTGAGTGAGAAAGCAGACACTGCTGGTATTTGTGCGAGGAAAAGTGAAAGATGAAGTCTTTAAAATGAGAATATGCAAAAGCGAGCTGACAAAATTCCCTTGGAAGCTATGTTTCCTTAGGTCTACTGCTCATGGAGTAATTTCTTTACTGAGTTCACTGCTGCTGCAACAGAAATAAATATTTGTATCTTAATTAGGCAGAAAAATCCAGACAGTGAATCCTACCACATCTGTTCCATGTCTTTTTTCCAGCAGAAGTCGAAAGACATTAGCTGTTATCTTGTTATCTTGGACACCTTGTCCAAGGCCACGGTTGTCATCCTGCATAAGTCGACGATCCATGATCACTTCCAACTGACCTGAGAGAGCAATACAGGGATTGTACTGGTTCAAGAATATGTAAAGCTTCTATTAAACATAAGAAAAACACCCTAAAATACAACTTATAATGAATCACATTTTTTCTCTTGCATATGGAAGAGTAATAACAGATCAATATTGTTAGGACTGATTATGAAAAGTTAATACCTTTGGACTTTGGCTGTTTACAGCCTTTCAAAGACTTTTTACAAGGCTTTCAGCAGAAGGTCCTGCAAATTTTAAGAATAAGAGTCTAAGCAGAAGTTTAGCATGAAAAGTTATTACTGTTAAGTGTTATTCATAGCAAGGATACTTGGCATATCAAGCATCAAAGAGGAAAATCACCCCAGGTAGCAGCAGCTGTATGGAGAGACCTTCTGCAGAGGAACTGTCTTCATCTTACACTCCATAAAAGAGCGCACCTCCCAAATACATTTTTTTCATTTTAAAATTTTTGTTTCACAGTTGGAGGCAGAAGTAAAAACAGGTAAGTGATATGAGTATATAAATACTCACAACCACTCCTTACTGTAAGGCTATTTTCAGTTGTGGGAGTAGGAAAGAACCTTGCACCAGATGAACACTGAGTATAAAGTTCTGAGTTTATAATGAACTGTAACATTGCCATTCAGAATAGCTCTTTAATCACGATGTTAAATCATAAACAGCTTTACGGAAGAAGAAGTTAATATCTTTTCAAGTTTATATCTCCAGAGGGAAACAAGTTCAGGGCACGTAATTAAGGCTGTTACAGTTTTTGCACACTGAATCTTCAAGCAAGTGTACTTGTTTCCTAAATAAAACTGGAAGATTGAAGTACTTGTTTCCTAAATAAGAACTGCACAATTTAAGCTACTAGAAAAGGCTGCTTAGTAAGGCAGTCTCTTTTATACTTCTTCATTGTTTTAGAAATACTTATCCAATTTTCCTAAATGCTTCTTCTTCCCTTCCCTCAAATGAAAACAGATTTTGTGCATCCAGGACAGAAGTCACTTGGCAATGAGTAAGAAACAAACTACCATTTTGAACTAAGGCATGAGGCTAGGACTTTGACTTAAATTGCTGGTCATTGTGGATCGCTGTACAAACATGGGCTGACAGGCAGCTATGATAAAGTCTCTGAAAAAAGCTAGAAACACAGTAAGAAAGATAAACTTATGATAAACCTTTGTCAAAGTTTTCAAACACAACTTAGAAGATCTAGATCCAAAACTACCTATCTGCATTTCCAACATTCTTTAAGAAGTTAGGATAATGAAGGTTGACAAAATAAAGCTTTATGACTCTTAAGGTGATTTTGAACAGCAAATACAAACAAATGATCAGTGCTGTTAGAGATAAAAAACATTTCATAAGTGGATCAAAAATGAAAAAAAACTTTTTTAGGGAAATTTTGGGCTTAAAAACGGTATAAGTGTATTGCATGAAGCTTCAGGACATAAGTGATCCCTGCTAGCCCAACAATTATCTGCCAGACTGCAGGGAAGTCCACCTCTAAATGACAGTGGAATTTACGAAGTGGAGGATATTCACCATCCAACATTAAAAAATGATTATACATCCAATCCCACAAATGGGAAGAGGGATAAAAAGTAGTAATAAAGTAGTGGTATATGTACTTTACAGTCTTTTAGAAGCTGATGTTAAAGACTGATGACAATACAGTGAGAAATCCTGCTCCATATTGCTGAGATAACCTAACAGCATGAGAGTTAACTAACTGCTCCACCTATCTCTAATCCAAGAATGAGGAGTGAGAAATAATTGGCTGTTCATATAAATCCCAGATGGTGGGTTATGCCTTGAGACACACAGTCTCAGACACACAGCTACTGAAGGTGCTTGCCTAAACTGTAATATTTTTGATTTTTCTTCCAGGATCCCTTTGAGATCCTGAAGGCCTTCAAAAGAAGTGTCATGAAGCATTATGACTTTCAGCAGCCACAGAACCTTCAGCTTCATTTTGGTTCTCTTTCAAGGAGTTCAACATGTTCTCAGGACAAAGATAATAAACACAGTCGTTTCATGAAATATTCCCTAATGACAAGTCAGATGAATACATTCTCCTCCTTTTTTTAAGTGGGTGAAGAGTAAGTATTTGATATAGCTAACTATCTCTTAACCTTGAGTAACATATTAGAGTTTGCCAAAGAGACATAGTTAAGAAATTAATGCCATGACCAGGTATGAGATACATCTTTTGCTCTTTTATTTAACTGGAGTAGGGGAAAAGCCTCTAATGTCCTCTGACTGGTTTAAAACCAATGCTCACAGAAAGTCAGTTTCTCCCTGATACTTAACTGCAATATAGCAAACACCACTAGCCTTAACTTCCCTAACTTGAAGATAGTGAGCAGGAGTCTCTGTGGACTTAGATGTTGCATTATTCTGTGATGCAGAGACTAGGATTGAACAAATACAGACAGTATTACAAGGTAACGAAGTCTCTGCACATTAATTTAGTCGCCATTACTTATGTAACAAGTGCCTACAGACATTTGGCGGTGACAAGTTCATTCACAAGAACAGGCCAAAGGCAATTTAGTTTCTAGCAAAGGAAGGCATGAAAAAATGTGTTTGGGATCTTGTATCAGGTGGTCTTAGAACAAAAGGCTGATATTTTCCACTCTGGTTTTAGTTTTTATTAAAGCATCGGTCTATAGGCCAGTGTTAACTCTTTGCCCTAAAATGAATTAGGTTTGCTAACACTGCCATCAATCTAGTACAGTATTAACCTTTTGACAGAACAGACATTAATATGACATTTTTCTGAAAAGAAACTGGGAATAGGTTTTGGCATAGTTTCTGATGGGCTTCTTTTCTTCTAAGTATTAATTCTGTTGCTTTTCAAAACCCTGTAAACTTAAACTCATAATATATTACAGCAAGGAATTATACATCTTAAATTATGAATTACATACCTCAATTTTGCCCACTACTTACTAGCTTTATTTGAATGCCTCCTCATTCTGGTAGCAGTATAGACTAAACAACTGACCTCTGTTCCCAGCCCTCCAGGCCATTCATCATAACATTCTCTGCTGTGAGGGACAAGACTGTGTCCATTTTGGAATTCATAATATGAACTGAATTTCCTTGTCAACATATTTATCAGCTTTTTCAAAGTACTCCATTAAATTTGTGAGGTACTATTTAGCTTCAGAAGTATGTCAGTTCTTACTCAGGATCATTTTTCTCCTTTATTTCAGTTAATTCTAGTATTTAAAAAAGCTGCTCTTGTTTTCCTAGACAGGGACATTAGACTATACTGTGTATACCTTAAGACTAGTGCTTTCTGCCCTTAAGCAAGCAAACAAATAAAAAAACATGATCAGCATCACATTACCCATCTTAAGCCCCCTGCTACCAGACCAGTACAAAAGAGAACAAACCACTCAGTTTTACTGTTTCGTACTTGAGTTCCGTCAGAGTTCTTAATGAAAAATACCTGGTCCTGACAATTTATTTCACATTTTGTCTTTTTCATGATCTCTTTCCTCTGTCTCTAGTTTGAGACAGAGCTTCCATTGAAGATGCCAGGATCTCATGTGGAAACAACTTCTACCTCCTCCCTTATGGACATATTCTAAAACTTGTCAGAGTTGGAGAAATGTATTTCCTTTCTTCAGATGCTATTAGGTATGGCAATATCTGAATTAACCATTTCCAATAACCATGAAGGATAGGCGTTTATAGTATCTGTCATCTTATACTTACCATTTTTCAAGCTTGCAACACCTAGAGATTGAGCTGAATGAAGTGTCAAACGAGCGCCAACATCTTGGATGTAAGCCATTGTAGTCATAGGATAGACATTTGCTTGAAGGGGCAATTTGCTCGTCGTCAGTCTGGGCTGGATCTGCAATATGAACACAAACTTCAATAAAATCTAGTCTTTTTATGCATTTAAATTTCAAAGACCTTTTCAGACATTTATCCCATGTGCTTTAGAAGCACAACTGGCAAAAAAAGTATTCACTCAACTACATTATTTAGGGTTTTGGAGATTCGTAGCTAAAATTACTACTTTGGAAATGATAACTTCAATGCACTTTTAGATCAAAGAATATTTAAAAAAACCTGAAAGAATCATCAAAGAGACCTACAAAAAAAGGAATAATCACAGTTATAAAACAAGAGAAAATTTTTTCTCCTCTAGAGAGCAAGTATTGAATAGATTCAAGGCAGCAGAAAAGGAATTGTTGGTTTATAACGGGAACTTACTAAAGTGCTAGTGTAATTCTTGTATGGTACATGACAAATAAATAGTAGTATTAAAATTATTTTCATGTTTAAATATTCACTTTACTATTTCCAGCAAAATGCAGGAAACAGTACACACACTAACTGGATAAACAGTAGTCTCTTACTCAGCAGATATAGTTTTCAGTGTATTTGCAAAACCCTTTTTAGCAAAGAAGAAAGGTAAATAAAATAGAATTTTCTTTCTTTTGTGTGTGCTGCAGAATCTAAGTTAAGGAAACAGTCACGCTAAATTTCGTCAGATGCATTACCAATAGAACAAACTATTAAACTCCAAAAAATACATCACTTATTTCCACCACAGCAGGACACAGTTGTTCTCTAGGTCTGAGTTGCTGGACTTTATGCACATCTAGTGTTGTGCTACCCAAGGGGCTCTAATTAAATAGGCAAAGCACAGGGGAAAGAAGACATGCAGATATAGAAGTAACTACACGGTGGCTTGTCATAACTTGCTGTATTACAATTCTTAAGTTAAAAAAAATACAAAGGAATCTTTAACAAACTCCTTGAAACAAAACAGTTGCTATGTCATCTGGTCTAAATAAAATTTTATATTAGATAAATTTTTAAAGCTTTTTAATGCTTTACGATCAGAAGTATTAAGACAGTCAAAACCAGAGACCCTAGGCTTTCATAATTCATAGACAATAATTACCTGATATCCATTAAGATCAGTATAAAATCTATTTTGACTGTTTATGTCAGATGAAATCCTCATTGCAAGCTCACGATTATATTCTCCTCTAATATCCACAATATTGGAAACTTCAAGAGACTGGCCTTCCAAACCTACATGAAAAAGATGCACTTAAAATATCTAAAATTTTAAAAGCAATTGCCACATATATAAGAATGCCTATGCTAACAGAACACGGTGATCTAGTTTTCCCCTGCTAGTTTTCCTTTTCTGTTATTTATCTGTTATCAGATATTTGAAGACAGTTCAGTTATGTACCATATGATATAGCAGTACTTCTAATTCAATACTCATTGAACAGACAGTCTGAAACTTTTACTAAAGTAGAACAGAAGCAATTCACGGTAAGAACCAAAGTGGTTCTGGTAAATCAGTAGGAATCAGCTGTTAAGTGCTGTCTTTAACAGCAGGTAATATGCTGGAGCAAGACCTAGGCATTCACACTCTCCCCTTCTCTCTTATGTGGTTATTGCCATTCACAGACAAGAATGAAGTTACCAGCTTCTTGACAGTAACTGTTCCACTAAGTAGGAAACTGGTCAGCTGTTTTAACCAAAAGAGGGAGAAACTTTCCTTAAGGACAGCGAATTAAGAAGCCGCACACTAATATGACCACACTCAGGACACAAATCTTTGCTGACAGGAAAAAAGATGCCTATTTATTAAAAGAAGGATTAAGTATCTGAAAATGCAGACAGATGTTCAGTCAGCTTTTTTTTTTTTTTTTTCTACACTGCCTCACACAGAAATTTAAATACCTTTAATAATAATCTGACCTTTTCAGTTTCAGACAGTTTGGACTGGAATCATACCATCATTCAGCTTGATCACTTCTACCCTTTCTGTAGTGTAAAGGGACTAACAATTGTGAAAAGAATTCCACCAAGCAGAACAGAGATATGAAATATCCCTTTGTAGTGAGACGAAATTACATTGTGCTTGTCTGACAGTGTGCTGGATTTAGCTGGGATAGAGTCAATTTTATTCTAGTAGCTGGTACAGGACTACATTTTAGATTTGTGCTGAGAACAGCATTGATAATGCAGAGATGTCTTTGTTATTGCTGAGCAGTGCTTACACAGAGCCAAGGCCTTTTCTGCTTCTCACACCACCCCATCAGCGAGCAGACTGGTAGTGCATAAGGGACAGCTGACCCCAACTGATCAAAGGGATATTCTATGCTATCTATTCATATATATACTACTCTATATATTCATATAATGTCATAGTCTACATATAAAGCTTGGAGATGTTTGGAGTGATGGCATATGTCTTCCCAAGTAACCATTCTGCCTGACAGAGCTCTGCTTTCTTGGAGATGGCTCAACACCTGCCTGCTGATGGGGAGGAGTGAATGAATTCCTTGTTTTGCTTCGCTTGTGTGCACAGCTTTTGCTTTACCTATTAAACTGTCCTTATCCCAACACATGAGTTTTCTCACTTTTAGTCTTCCAGTTCTCTTCCCCCATCCCACTGGGGGGGAGTGGGCAAGCAGCTGTGTGGGGCTTAATTACCATCTGGGGTTAAACCACAACAGAGGGGTTGTAAACAGAGGACAGTAGAAAGTGAGGGAATCATTAACCAACTTATTCCTCTAAAACATTAAGGCACTATTTAAAAATATTAGATACCAAATACTTTTTTTTTCCCCAACAGTTCACTGTGTATCAACTCACACGAACCAGAGGCATGCTCATCAGTTTGGGTTCCTGAATGGTAAAATCTTTTGCAGAAGGATAACATATCTTTGAATAAAATTTCTAGATTCCTGAGCATATGCACAGAGGTTAGCACAACCTCTTTTTCCTTCTCCACATACAGTTTTCAAATTTTTTTAGCAGTTCTCTTTGAAGGCATGTTGTAATAGTTTTCTTAAGAAGGTCTTTCTCAAATTCTAAAACAAACACTGAACCTTTACACAATGAAATACTTCAAGTGTCTGACTGCTTCAATTTTTATGCTATTATTTAGTATGTAAAATGCAGTTGGGGCTGCGATTTTGTCACTTGAATGAGGAGGATGTCAAGCTCTGTATTTGCTTTCTCATCTTTTTAAAAATCTGAATACCACGTGCAGCAGTACCAGGAACTGTTAAAATGTTAACTTTTACCAACGGGTATTATACTACAGTACTAAATAAAAAACATTCAGTTCAGGTAATTACTTCCATTTTCCCAGACCTAGTCTGGAAAAAGTGGATCTATATGCTCCACTTTTGATGCTTAGTTATAGATTTTCCAGCTGTTTTGAAGTAGCACTATTAAAGTACAATTACATTGAACAAAGATACAATATTTTAGTTTACAATTCTAAAATGAACAGACCATGAATTAATCTCAACTCTTTTATGCATAATTTGAGTTAATACAAAAAAATAATTACAAAGATAATGAAACATAAGAAGCTTCTGATAAAAAGATTAACAAAATCACCCTGATATCAAAGCCACATGCCAATTGAACCACAAAAAGTTAAGAATCACTCATTGGTCAATTACTGAACAGAGTTGTCAAGCCAGCACATTTTCTGCTTCGAATCAACAGATTTCTAAAGCCAAAACTCGAAAAAGCAATGTTATACCAAAACTGCTGAAGAAACTGTAGAACTCAGAAGTACTGTCCAACAGTAGGATTACCCACACAATCACATTTTCCACCCCCTGGCAAGCAGGTAGGTCACAAAAGGAGTATTAGGACTTTATTTAAAAATAAAATGTATGTATATACATACACATTTTTATTTATCTCCACATGCTTTATTACTGTATATATGTAGTAAGACATCAAGATACTTTATTTCAATTGAAGAAATGCTATACAAATAGCTTCCCTCACAAAGCCTAGGAAACAGACCTCAGCAAAACAATGATGCAAAGCCATACATTTCTAAACTTTGAAAAAGGCCACTTCATATAAAGAAATTAAAATAAAAACAGACTATAAAAGTAAACAGAGAAAATATATAAAACAATTGCATCATTTTACCTTGTAAAAGCTGGGAACATGGTACAGGACTGCACCATGATGACTGGATAAGTAATGGTATAAGTACTGAAACAGTATGATGAATTAAAAATTATTTTTAAAAAATAAAGAAAAGAAAAAATAGATAGTGCACTCGAAAGATAAATTTATGTGTTAGGAACTGGCAAGCAAGTGATTTTCACTGACAATTCATTTTCTGTGAACTATGAAATGGAAGTAACATACTTCTGGTAGGTACTTATTAATGAATTACAGAAAAGGAAGTATTACAAAAAAATCCATTTAAAAAAATCAAACAACCGTACCCTAACCAAAAGTGAGAATTTCCAGGGTTTTTTCAGGCTTTTCGCCCTCTTCTTCATTACAGTAAACATCTTCCTTATTTAAGTTCCCTCCTTGCTAATAAGTTTAATTTAGTGAAACACACACAGCAAAGTAATTTTTCACATTTTTGGCAATCTAGTACATCTTGATCTCCAGGTACCCTTTTTTTTTCATCAAAGCCCATTTTATATATTGGTAACATAAAACCAAAAAATATAATCTTGAATATAAACATGTTTTCTCAGGATCTTCAACAACAAATTACTATATAACACCTTGGTTTGTATTCATAAGGAATGTGTTCCAGAGTTTGATCTAGAATTGCTATATCAGGCGACCTGGCAACTGAACTCTGATCAGTTTATGGCATATGGGTAAACACTAGCAACATCAAACTTCTAAGTATACACTTAAATCATAAAAAATGAGCCATCTGAATCAATTTTAGTTCTAACAAGAAATACACTACAACTAAAAAGAATAATCAAACAGATTAGTTCTGTGGAACTGTAAAGTAGCAATACTATTTTTGAAACCTAAAAGAAATAAGGAAAAAAGCAAGAGAGACTTTCAAAGTACTTATAGCTCCATTATTTTTTTTAAGGTGTTAAGAAAAAAAAATTATGATAAATAAGATTTTTAAAACCATGCAGACAATATTTACACCTACAGTAAAAGTAAATACAAAATATGTTCAAAATCCTTCAGGCGTTGAAAATATTAGCCAATGCTTCTGTATTTCAGAAAAATTCCAATAGAGTAAATACAAACAGATGAACAACTGAAAAGGTATGTTTCCAACTTCAATTACAAAAAGATACACCTAAGCATTTAAGTCAAGTTGCTACAGGAAAACAAGTTTATACAATTGCACCATGATTTGCTCCATCTTTTAGCTTTCACTGGACAATTTCATCATCACATTTGGAAGGGTACAGAGTTTCCAAAGTTACTGTTTTTCTAGAATTTTCTTGGAAATCAGTACTTAAACAGCAGAGAAACAAAAAATGAAAGCCTTACTGAAGGAAAAGAAAGCAAAACTGATATGAAGTTATGTCCTAAGAGTCAATAAGCCAGTGTTCAGTGATAGTGCCTCTCAACAAACACAGACAACTCTGTCACAAGCTCTTCCAAGCAGATAAAGGACATAAAAAGGAAGCTCACAAGTATCTAAAGCATGTCTACAGTTGTGGAGTAAACTAGACTTTACTATTAATACCACTAACAAATAACTTTACATTTTTTGTGACTTTAGAGAAGATATTGTTGTAACTCCATTAATGAGTATGAAGCTATGACAGAAACTACGTTTTTATACCATCTTAAAGATATTTCTAAATTTTTTTTCCTAATTTTCTTAATTTACAGCTACCTACAGCATTCAGATGACCCAGTAAAGTTCAGGACCCCCTTGCAGGTAATTTATACTATAAAATTTCCTAATACTGAGATGTATGTCCAACAAATCTGTTAAGTTTAAGCGTGCCAGCTTAATGACTACCATGATGCTCAGAAAGGGATCATGGTGCACTGGACCCAGAAAAGACTTTAATCTGATGAACTCTGCACTAGTTCAGAAGCGCATTTAAACATTAAAAAGAAAGATAGAGTCCAAGACTCTAATGATGGAAAATAACTGCTGAGAGAGACAGAACTTTGCAGGTCTTACCCTGGACATTATACAGTCGCATGGTATGTGTCACATGGTGGAAAAAACATACAACTTCTGAGAAAATCCTCCCATGAGCAACTCTTATGGTAGGTGGATCTGTAAAAATGTAAGGCTACAAAAAGAAAATAGAAAGTTAGAATAATAATTTTGAAAGTTTTGCATAAAAGTAGTATGAATAAAACAAAGTATTTAATAAATATTAAATAGTCTTTTAATTTTTTAAACTGTTCTATACCTAAGTCTAGTCTAAAAACTGGGAATTTCAAAGTTAACTCCTAAATCTGAAATCTAGTAACTTCTCTCAGAGCCTCATGTTTCCTTTAGCTAAAAATGCCATAACCCTCATTATGCATCTCACAGGTATTTATGAGGACTAATGGAAACAAGGCCTACAGACAAACAGAGCAATGTATTAATATTGCAAACAAATGGATTGAGGTTTTTTTTTTTCCTAGTAAAATTATACTTGCTAACCAGTAATCAAATACTGTAGTTTCATAACCTGTGGCAGATGGTTTAACTGTCTGTTGGGTTTGCTCACAGTTCACTGCATCAGTGGTACACACTGCATGAGGAAAGCTGCCTCTACCCTGTCTTGTGGATCAGTTTGCAGATCATTTTGAAAGTGAAAAAGGAAGATTTTTCTTTATCAAAAGCAGAAACAGTTGCCAGAGGACCACCCTAGAATGCAGGGTAGAGCTGGGAACAATTAAGGAACCTCCCTGGCTGCTTACCAATGTCTCTCAAAAACCAAAGAGATTAAGAAAATTATTTTTCCATGTATTCTCAATATCCTGAGTCTCAGCTAAGCAATGACTTTTTTTCAAAACAGCTGATCTCAAACTGAACTGTATATGATATATAAAAATGCATAGATGGCTACAAAGGTAAAAATGGGTTAAATATTAAGCATGTACAAAGCCAAAAATGAGAATATAACACATGCAACTATTAGTATAGTGCAACAGCAATGAATAAAGACTTCACTCACAAAAACTCAACAAAATACATGAAAAACATGTTACTCAGATGGATCTAAGCAGAAAGCTCTTAGAGGGTGGTTGTACTCCTCCTGTATAGACCAGTGTCATAAGAAGGACAGAGCATACTCTGTCTTCTCAAGCAAGGAAACCAAAGAACAAATGTATCTTGAGGAAGAGAGGAAATTAAGATTACATACACACAGACAGAACATGTCAGAGAAGAATAAGTACAGGTACATATTGTCCAATTTTCTTCTTTGAGCATATAAATGTATGTATATTCACAGAGAAGACTTCAAGAAGAATTGTATACGAAAAGAAACTGAAAGAGACTTACAGGGACTAAAAGCCTGCCTTTCTATTCACCTATTTATTCTTAAAGATTCAGACAGAAAGGAAAGTGGAATAATCAAACCCTTCAAAATCCTACCTGCAGGGTAGAGTGGCATGAAGATCCTCAGGTTAGCAAGGAAAGACTGAAACAGCAGCTAAAGGAACTCTCAGAAAACTAACTGAGAAACCTGAGGTCTTCAGGCCAAGCAACTACCCTCGCTGATTATTACCTAGGAGAACACTACTTATATCAACAGCAGTTCACCAAATATATTCTGTTAGCAAAGCAACACCTATCTTATGGGCTTACTTCTGTTGTTTGTAAGATTTCTCACTAGGGCTCTCACTGGAGCTATCCAGGACCAAACCAGCAAAACAGAGAAATGCTGGATGAGTGACAAAGGAATGCAAAAGGCTGTGCACTTATTTAAAAAAATAAAAAATTACCTGATTTTTTTTTTTTTTTTTTTTTTTAACAAAAGGTGAAAAAAAAAAATACTTGGAGGAACTCTGTTTCATGGAGCTTAGTATAAAACATGATGGTGACACTGACAAGAACTACCAAAATACATTGTTCCCATAGAAGTAGAAAGCTGAAATGAGATGTGTTTAACAGCTCTCAGATTCTGGGATATTGCCACAAACACTAATTTCACACACTCAAGTCTCCGTGCTGCACCAGCAGCCAGATCAGCTCCCCAGATGAAGATAAAGGCAACCATATCTAACTGTTCTGGACTATACAGAAAGATGAGGTGTCAGGGAAGAAAAGGAATTCAGTGTAATTTTGCAGATATTATCTGAAATTAATTATTTTTTAAAATCATAATTTGTGATTCCACTAGCACATGCATTGAGAGAAACGTATCAAAGCCAGTTTTCAAGTCTCTAATTTAGACATAGTGCAGGGAAAATGTACAAATAAGGAAGGAGAGTTACAAAAGCACATGCTATCATGAGGATTTTGGGGTTAGACATGTTCTTTCTGATACAAACAGTGGAGAGATATGTCATATATTTGAGTTCTCAAGGATGTCTGTTACTTCCTGATTGTTGGGCAAACAGGAACAATGAAGAAAAAGCATGGTACTTGGAGAACAGGGAAGCCTGATAATTCATATTCAGTGCCTAGAAAAGCACTAATCCTACAAAGTGATTTCCTGATTGTCATACTGAGAGACATACTGAGTTTAGAACTTATAAAGATATAATTGACCAGGTTTGCCACATTGCAAACATTTAAATGAATCAGGCTTTTAAGCAGGAAAACATCTTTACACATTGAATGTATAATTACTACAGTATCATTGTAAAGATCTTTGGTGAGATGCACAGAATCCCCTAAAATGATCCTAGTCCTGGATCTGAAATATACTTTTGATGTTAAAATCTGCCTAAGATGCAGAAATAGGCCCCTTACTATTCAGACACAAACCAATTTCCTTTCTAAATGAAAGGAACAATTATAGAGCTATTCACAAAATTGATTGGACAAAGCCCTGGTCCAGATTCAGTATTTACTCTGCTTTGAGCAGGAGGCTGAACTAAATGACCTTTCATCATGAAGGATTCTCTGATTACTCGGACCTTAAACTAGGAATAAAAATATTTTGTTCTCATATCCAGTGGTAGTCTCAAGATTCCATAAACAGTTAAAATGAATAGTCATCATAAAATCTGTTCCCCTCTACTGGAATGAGTTCCACTGTACAAGATTCAGCAGCCTGCTGTGGTAGGTTATGTTGAGCTTGGAAAGAGTATTTTCAGAAACAGGATAACAGAACTATGGGTCAAAGGGCCAGAAACCATTTTTCAGTACTCATATTCAAGAAAAATATGACAATCTGTCCTCCTGAAGGAAGGGTGGGGGAAGGGGAGGGGAAAAAAAAAAGGCAGCGAGCCAGAAATTTTAAGGGACAATACTTGGAGCAAAATAATATCCCATAGCTCTGTAGGATATCTTAAAAATACCTGACATTAAATCAGGTGCCAAAGTACCAGGGGGTGGAGATAACTGACGAGATACCTTAGGTTAAAGATTTACTGGCTTGCACAGAAGCTGGCATCGTACATTGCAGCCTGAAGGCACGAAGCTCAAGCAATAAGACTTTCCCCTTGTAGTCAAGTGAAGCACTGCTATCTTAGTGTGGTCTAGAAATTTCTCGCAGTGCAGCACACTGTTGGTGTGGAAGTCAAATAAACTATGCCCAGAGGAAAGTTTTCCAGCACAGACTGAATTGCTCTTGAGATGTCTGAGATTAAAAAAAAACCAAACTAATGAGAAAGCCTTCAAGAAAAGTTGCTTCTCAACAGCAGATTACCCCTTGTGTTGGGTTTGAGGGGGCTGGGCGGGGAGGGCATTTTTTTGGTAGTGGGGAAAGGGCCACCTTGTGAGAAGCTTTGAGAGCTCCCTTGGCTCCAAAGGTGCAGCCCCCAGCCCAGGCTGAGCCAATTAGCAATAGAGAAACGCCTCTGCAAATCCATATTTGTGAGGGGAAGGACTGTCCTGAAAAGGAGAAGGTGGAGAGAACATGGAGGAGGCCATTGGCCTGAACAAAAGACAACCATCAGCCTAAACAAAGGACAGACAGACAGACAGAGAGCTTCGTTGCCAGAGGAAAGAGGAGGAGGGGAAAGGACAGAGAACCTTGAGACACTCAGTTCAACTGCATGGAGTAGAATACAAAGGAAGTCCTCTGCAGCCCATGGAGATTCAATGGGGGAACGGAGGCCCACATGCAGGCCATGGAAGACTCCATGCTGGAGCAGAGAAGTTGAGCCTGAGAGCAAGTGTGACTGGAATTGGAACCCCGAGAGTCACTTGCTGCCAGAGCGGAGATGGGTCCCCAGAGTGGGGGGTGAGTCCACAGCCTGTGGACATACCCATGCCGGAGCTGCGAGCTGAGCCCGAAGAGGTGGGTGACTCCATGGGAAGCTCGTGTTGGAACATCTTGTTCCTGGACTTTCATGCTGGGAAGACCAGCAGAGGTGAACTGACTGCAACCCCCATTCCCTGTCCCGTGCCGCTGGAGAAGAAGGTAGAGACATCGGGAGCAAAGTGATTTGAGCCCGGGAAGAATGCACTCATTGCACTAACGAGTGTATCTTTATGCCTGGAAGTACAGTGCTTGCTGGAAACAAACAGAACTCATTTAGTTGTCTTTATAATTTCAGAAACATACGTTCCTGAGAAAATGCGTCCAAGGTCATCTGAGATGAAGAGACATGAGATCTTTCTGAAAGCATCTGTTCCATGCACAAAAAAAGGAAAGATGGGGGGAAAGGTAGAGAAATTGGGAGCAAAATTATTTGAGCCTGGGAAGAAGGGAGGGGTGGGGGAAGGTGTTGCAAGATGTGGTTGTTATGTCTCATTGCATTACTTAGATGAATTGCAACAAATTAAATTGATTTTTCTTCCTCAAGTTGAATCTGTTTTGCCTGTGACCATAACTGGTGAGTGAGCCATCCCTGTCCTCATCCTAATCTGTGCCCCCTTTGTTGTGATTCTCTTCCCATCTCATCTGGTGGGGAAACCAGAGTTTAAACCACCACACATCCTTACTAACTGTGTTCGGTGTCAATAGGGAATAGAATAAAACAGTTTTTTCCAAAGAGTCAGATGCTAAGTGTTTGTGAGATCAATATAAGTGGTTAATTTTCTTGTTTTATAAATCAATTTTTCAGAATCAAAGTGGACTTTTTGGTAAACCCAGACTGGGAAATTGTTATTCTCCCTCAGGCAGTTGTGTCTATGTATCTAGTAGTTGTTACAGGTACTTATGTACTAGCACAAGATATAAGAAAAGAGATTTCTCTTTTTTTTTTGGTCCTACAGGATTTCTAGTGTTAGAGCTTTTATCCCTTTTTTTCTCTTCACTCTTTGTGCCCATAGTTGGACATCCTTTACGAATTATGATCTCTGACTTGTCTCTGGCATTGAGTGACTCTGACGTCTTTATTTTCTGCTCCAGCGTGGAGTCCTCCATGGCCTACACATGGGTCTCTGCTCAGCTGTTGAACTTCCATGGGCTGCAAGAGACTTCCTTTTTCTTCTCCTACTCCATGGGGTTGAACTGGGTGTCTGAGTTTCTCTGTCCTCCCCCTCCCCCTCCCCCTCCTCCTTCCTCCTGGCAATGAAGCTGTCTCTTTGTTTAGGCTGATGGTCGTCTTTTGTTCAGGTCAATGGCCTCTTCTCCAGGTTCCCTCCACCTTCCTCTTTTCAAGACAGTCCTTCCCCTCACAAATATGGATTCACAGAGGTGTTTCTCTAGTGCTAATTAGCTCAGCCTGGGATGGGTGGGTACACCCTGGAGCCAGGGAAGCTTTCGCAAAGCTTCTCACAAGGTGGTCCCTTCCCCGACTACCAAAAACACCCCCCCTTCCCCCCCGCCGCCCCCACCCAACACT